GTACAGATTCCTCATGAGCACAATTAAGTGTTCAGGAATACTCATACTTCACAATGTTGTCCATAGCTTGTCATGATCCACACAATTGAAAGCCTGTGCGTAGTCAATAAAGCACAGGTAAAAATCTTTCTGGTATTCTCTGCTTTCAGCCAAGATCCATTGGACATTAGCAATGATATCCTTCACTCCACATCCTCTTCTAAATCTGGCTTGAACTTCTGGAAGTTCTCTGTCAATGCATACTTGCAGCCATTTCTGTATTACCTTTAGTAAAGCTTTACTCGCATAGGATAGCAAAGATATTATCCGATGATTTCCGCATTCCATTGGGTCACCTCTCTTTGGAATGGACATAAATACAGATCTCTTCCAATCAGTTGGCCAGATAGTTGTCTTCCAAATTTCTTGGCGTAGATGAGTGAGTGCCTCCAGTGCCACCTCACTTTCTTGAAAGATTTCAATTTTTAGTCTATCAATTCCTGGTGCCTTGTATTCCTCCTTCAATGCACCTTGGACTTCTTCCTTCAATATCATTGACTCTGAAATGGAACGCATAAACATTGATATCTTAGGCATTAGTGAGCTGAAAAGGACTGGTATTGGCCTTTTGGAATCCAACAACCATATTGTTTATTATGCCAGGAATGACAAATTGAAGAGGAATGGTGTTGCAGTCATTGTCCAAAAGAACATATCCAAATTAGTCATGAAGTACAACGCTGTCTGTGATAGCATAATGTCCATGCACCTACAGGGAAGACCAGGTCATACCACTATTATTCAGATTTATGCACCAACCACTAAAACCAGTGAGGATGAAATAGAAAAATTCTGTGAACTTCTTCAATCTGAAATTAATCAATGATGCATGATTGGAATGCAAAGGTTGGAAACAAAGAGGAAGGATCAGTAATTGGAAAATATGGTTTTGGTGATAGAAATGATGCTGGAGATCACATGATAGAATTCTGAAAAATCAATGATTTGTTCATTTCAAATACCGTCTTTAGACCACATAAGAGACAATTATACACGTGGACCTCACCAGATGGCAGAATTCTGCAAAATCAGTGACTTATTCATTTCAAATACCTTCTTTAGACTGCGTAAGAAACGATTACACACAGGGACCTCACCAGATGGAATACACAGAACTCAAATTGACTACATCTGTGGAAAGAGACGATGGGAAAGCTCCATATCATCAGCCAAAACAAGACCAAGGGCAGATTGTGGAACAGACCATCAATTAAGTGCTCGTATGCAAGTTCAGGCTAAAGCTGAAGAAAATTAAGATAAAATCACAAGAGCCAAAATATGACCTTGAATATTCCCCACCTGAATTTAGAGATCATCTCAAGAACAGATTTGATGCATCAGACACTAAAAACTGAAGACCAGAAGAGTTGTGGAATGACATCAAGATCATACAGGGAAAAAGCAAAAAATCATTAAGAAGACAAGAAAG